GTATTTTTCACGTCTTTTTATGATTAAACGGCCACTCCTCGAGCTCACACGAATTAATAGTCGTGTTTTTGAGGAAAAGAGCTGTAGACGATGTCCAGATACATGAAAGAATTCATCGGTCTGGACCCATCATGATTAAGTTGAAGAAAAGTGGCAGTGGCTTATTCCTGAAACAGTGTTCTTAGAGCTGTTTTGAGCCACGTCTTGTAGGGGTACTCAAGCAAGCTGACTCTAGGTACACCAAAAAAAGGCAGCCTTACTCTTTGTGAGGACATCTGAAAGTTGGAATCATATTTCATTGGTTAATCTCATTGGTTAATCAAAATGGTTAAACTAGGAAGCAGGCAGCTAGTATGCCGGACTATCGACTAGTGATATCTAAAACAGAACCCGTTCAGATGCGACGTCTCACGTGATCGGAAAGCCCTGAGCTAGTATGGGTGCCATGAAAGACATTCCATTGATTGTGTCGCCCCGATTTCTCTGCTTAGACACCGTAAAAATGACATCTCCCCATCAAGATTGGCTGGTTATTCGATACCATTGATAAAGAGTTGATCTGGGTCACAAACTTTAGGTTACTGACCATTTCATACAAATTATGCGATTTATAGCATCATCTTAACTCACTCCTGGGGTTTGGTTTGTACTAGTGAGGGTCTGTAATTGACTTGTTCAAGACCGTTTCCGGTGCCAGACAGGACAACTCCTGTCCTGATGCTTCACCGATTAGTGTATTAGTCCAAATTGTATCAAAGCCGATGAAATCGCAGGTGACATTAGCAACCTATCCCTACATTTTCCTCATTCCATTACAATAGACATGAAATACGCTTGAAAATGCCGCGACAACAACGAACAACCCGTGAACTCTTTCTTACAGGGGGTTCATTACTTGTATCCTGATTTGACTCGAATACCTGTCCCCAATATTACGGCCTCCTGAAAAACAAGATAACCATCATCCCCATGCTACCAATCATGACTTTGTTCCGATACACATTCCACTGATACATACATAACAGACACGTGCCGTAACGTATACTCAAATAATCGGAGAAGATTAAATTAGGGATGAGAATAAGTCATTGACTGAACCATCGGGTCTGAGCGACGTAGGCCAAGTACATATCGAGGTAAGAGGCTTTCCTGGGAGTTACGTGCTCAGCGAACGACCCACAAGTTACAAGTAGAACTCCAGCAGAACTATTGTTTGGTTACCTACTTCGTAGTGAACTGATTGCTCATCATTCAGCCGTATATGAAGACAGGCGTCAGTTACTGCCTTTCATACTTCGTATTAAACGACTTGCATGAAACCCTGGGATCAAGTTAAATCCAGTAAACTTACCCAGATGAAATGTCATTCCTCTATCAAGCACTGATTTGTCTATCCCCATTTAAACCAGTTAGCTGTGCCGTGTAGAGACACGCTAATTTTTTGATTGGAATGAAGGTACTTACAAACCTGTCTGAAGGAGATTGATGCATCCAGACACATCCAGAAGTAATCGTGGAGGGAACTCAGAGACAACCAAAGACAACCACCAAGGGCCGTTTCCGTCGTCATATTATTGGTCCTAAACCGTATTTTTGGAGGAAATGTGGTACTATATTTACTTTGGTCATTGCACTCATCTTCTTCTGTTCTGTCTGCTTTTTGAAGTCTAGGCATCACCCAAGTCATACTGTGTCAGCATTTGGCCGTCAGCCTGACACGCTCGCGCTTCCTTCCCTGATTGGCTCCTTTTACAACCCCATGCGAATTGTGTTCGTTTAGGTTTCGATATCCATGGGCGTCCACCCACAAACGTGATCGAAGATAACTGGTGGATGTACACGTGGCCATTTATCTACGTTTTCTGCACAAGACATTTTAAAACATTTCTACCCTATTGTGCAACACTTGTGACTACAGTCAGAATTGCGCTGCATCAGGATAATGTAAGAGAAGTAAAAGTAGGTGATGAAAGTGAGTTCAACGCAATGAAACAGATTATTTATATATAGTTTCGCCCATCACGGAATAGGTTATTTGAAGCTTGAGTTCAGAGGTAACGCCCAACCAAACAGTTCAGCGGTTCTTGATTTTATCTGCCTCCCGTGTGTTTGACTCGCATGTATGGATTATATGTATGTGACTTGCAGGTTTTACCAAATGCACTGGGAAGCTGATTACATGAGAACCGAAGGGAGATAGTCTAAAGATTTTTGTTATCCTTGAGAGCGATTTAATTTTAGCCTGGCCGGTGAGCCCAGAAAATCCGAAGAGGATGTTATCAGTTTCAGAAAAGGCTTGATCATTTAAGATTTCGCCACGACTAATTTTATTTACAAGTTAGATTTCCTTTTGAAATTTCCGGAATAAAATTCCTACCCAGTAAAAATTCTAAGCAGCAGCTACTTCAAACATGCAACTCAAATAGACCAGCTAACCGATACGCGCGACAGGACATCGCTGTATTTAACTAGGCATCAACTTACCTGATACCTTCTCACTTGTGTTGTTGACTATTTTTTCGACCTCCACGCTAGCCTCTGAATCGAAATAAAGATCACTCATAGCGTCCTTCTCATTGGTGGAATTAGCCGTTGACTGTGGACCAAAGTGAATTGTACTTGATTCCGACGAAAATTTCGGCAAACGTCCAGAATGATTTGGAATCGTTGTCCACAAAGAACACTCTAGAAAGAAAAATACAACTTCATTGATTACTTGTGTGACACTATCCTGCTCCTCGAAGCAAACTGCATTCAAATTTATCGGCTTATTAATCAATCGAAAGCAGCTGTACAACGATATACTTTGACCCACTTTATGAATACCTGATGCTTCAAAAAAGGTGGTGCGCACAACCACACTACTGTCGGATCTGCTGCCGCACTTCATCACGTTTACTAAGAGTTAACAGCGAAGGTCGCAGCACAACAATAGTGGGAACTACCGTTATATATCAAATTGTATGAATGTATCTCTGTAGATCAAACTAAAGTTGTTCGATTTGTCTGGAGGGTTTCGGGGGATATGTTCACTGGGGTACCACATAAGTAAAGCAACCACATTCCCAATATTTTCAGCAAAGCTTACCATCAAGTGGAGCATTTCATGGGAACCTCAAAAGCCGCTTCACCGCCTACAAACTTAAAGTAACCAGCTGAGAGGAATCAACATACCACAGGTCGCGCGGGTTCTCTGATAAGCAGTAAACAACAGATCACTAGGCGTGACCTGAGTCATCGCGGCACAAGCGGTGCAATAATCTCATAACCTGAGTAAAATTAGGAAAATCGAGGCTAGCTTAAACTGAAGAGGAAGCATTGGAATGAAGTTCGCTAACTTCTATCTGGAATAAGTTCAAGTGCTTGGTATGGTGACCATTATTCTTTCAGCAACTCGCAACGACATTTGCACCAGAAATTTCACTAACCAAAGACTATCAAAATGGCTGTTTAGGCAAACGATATGATGTGGTCTAGATAAAATAGTGTATTTGTATTTGAAATTGAGCAAAGAAGGGTATTCAAGCATTTCACTGTCAAGGCTTAACTTTGCTTTGTAGGTGTGGTGCAACCAGGTTATCGGTGTCATAAATATGTTTTCAGATATCCCGCCCTCAAAAAAAGCCGCACCATGAACAAGATGGCACTTACGTCGATCAAGTATTCTCCACCAATCCTTACAATCTGATCAGGCTTACGTAAGTAAACTAGAAAGCTTCATGAAGGAAGCTACTCACAAGGTTTCTGAAAACTCTTCGACTCTCTTCTTTGTGTGAAAATGGGCAAACGTCTTACAGCACTGTGATAAAAACATACAGTCAAAAAGCTGATGCTCATAGACACGGCCCACATATACCGGTATATCAGAAGCAGAATAATGCACGAAGACCCATCTTTCCACTTGGTATCTGCTGAAGTATTAAATGAATGATTCTGGCAGATGCATCGGCTAACCTGATTCACATGAACCACATTTCATGAAGAGTAGACTACCCTATATCTGTTGTAGAAAGCCGACGTTTCACGTTGCGTGATAACTCAAGTGTTATTTACTTAAGACAAGAAGCTACTGACAGCTGACACAAAAATTTCTCTACTGAATGTTGTGTCAAAGTAGGATATCTGCTGCACTGTTCATTAATAGTCAGTACGTCAAATCAGCCATGTTTCGCCTGTCCATGAAGCTTTTTTATTTTTAACAGAATGTACGCTTGGAGTTGACTTTGAATGCCAAATTTACTATCAGAAATTCTCATGTACAAGCTATAAGTGTACACAACCAACACTTTCGTCAAACTCTTTGGCACATCCGCTCCACAGTAACGTGCCGTTATCCTTTTGGCGTGCCTCTGCAACCAACAAGCAATCTATTTATTAGATTTAGGAGACAGGACCTAGAGCCATCACTTGTAGTGTGCGACTAAACCTTGCGTCCCTGTCTATCTAAGCTTCAGGGCTTTGCCTAAAGCATAGAATTGGTTTTTCACTTGCAATTCACCCTCCCCGTTGATGATTGTTAGGTAAAAATGACTGAACCGACACTCAAATTACGTCACCACAGATTGTGATTAGCTGAATAACGGTGTCTTCTGGGATACTCAATGATACAATTAGTGTCACATGTCTTTTTTGGCTTCAGTTCATTTTCAATATGTAATCAAGCTCATGAGTTAGGACAGAATATAAAAGGCAAGTAAACCTTTAAGTGCGCTCGACATTTCAAAATAAGCTACGTGTTTCAAGTGACACTGAAGTTCCTAAAAAACATCTGGTCACCATAGCACAAAACAAAGAAGCGAGGTATATGCCTTGGGGAAGTCTGATGGTTTGTAAGCTAAAATAAAATCACCTATCATACCGATAAATGTTAAGCCGACGCTCGGGTCATTGAGCGAAATCTGCAGGTTTCTTCAACTACTTTTGCCGAGCATTATGATCACCAAAAGTCCCAATAACCCCAAAGCGTAGACAGTTATGTCTCACTGGATTTTCCACCAAGTTTAAGAAGGTAATTTGGTCTTTAAGCCCACTTCCGTACTCTTCTTAGTTTTCTCCCCATAAAATGCAATGTTGGGAACGTAGTGAAAGTCACGTTTTGCTGATCGCAATTTACCGAAAAACTGCACTTCTTTGGAAAATGCCTCAGTATCCTCAACTTCTGGTCGCAGCTCCAAATAGACGGAAGCCAGATGCTTGACAACATTTTGTTGCCCGTCGGGGATCATTTTTTGCGTAGGCACTCTAAAAACAAGCTCCAGACACAATTCAGCCAACGGTTCACGAGATTTCACTTCAGCAGCATCGTTTTCAGTGGTGACAGATAAAATACAGCTGGTGATGTATTCCTCTGAAATATTTCCGCCATAAATATATACGAATTTAATCTGAAAAATGAAAATAAACTTTTTATATATGCATATCAACATATTACAGCAGGCAGATCAGTTCATAAACCATTAGGAGAAAAATGGGGGCCCCGAAACAGTTTTATTCCATTGTTTTCCTCCACACAAAACAGACATGAATACTGCTCCTTGCTGAGAATAGGTGACGGTAATTACATCAGACAGTTGACTGAACTAGAATCAAGTGAGTGATATCTGCTGAAGCGCAATTTGACTACCACAGGAGTTCATGGTACCTTCTGATAGGATGAAATTCTTTCAGTGACTTCTGTTGAGACCAGTCACTGTCGATTCTTCCTTCGGAGGCAAATTGCGCAGATCAATAATCCTCGAATTCCTTCTCGAAATGCATTTTTCTCCCTCTGCCTCAAGGAGCAGACTCAACTCTCAAGTAATGGTAACACCTACTCCAACTTTTGCTACAAATTCAACAGAATAAACGAAACAAAAATGCATTATTACAGCACCATTCCGGATTCCTGACCTCCGTGGTCATTGGAAACTTGAAATTTCTTCGCCGTACAGATCCATCACAGTAGAGAATTTCGTAATCCCACGCCCGTTAGGACTTTAAAACATAATCTGATACAACCGTTGTATCAATCACTTCTAGATGAAAAAAGGTTTTGTGACATATTTTTCAAATATGTACTCAGGACTGCGTGAATTCGAGCTGTAATCCCTAACAAGGATTTGGTTTGTCTGACTAGATGCCTTCACTACGTATAATCGGGTGGTCAAGGTGGATACTTTGTAAGGAAGGGTTACTGCATGCGTGCTACATTATTTTCAGTGATCACGCCAAAGGACACTAATTAGGGTGACCTTCGATGCACCACGTCTGTTCCTAACGCTAAACGCCACCTCTAGATGTTAAGAACTTGTCCCTTTCTTCTTGCTTGAAAAGTGGCTCCTAGTGTGATGAACGTATGAAACAGCTGGGTAAAATAAACTCCTGATTTTACTTCATACGGAATTCGGCGAGTGGCAGCGACCAAGAGGAAGGCTGTCTGCGTGAGCTTAAAGACTTTTGTGGCACTATGAACACCCAGAGTCACAGTACCCCGTTCTCGCTACGAATTCCACAGCACGCAGACTCAAAAGCTTCGTATCGACGTTTATAGCACTTGAGTAGTGGAACATTAATAATCTGACTTTGTTTTGCATGTCGTGGATTCATTGCCAGTTTCCAACAAAAGTGTAACGTGGTATGACTTTTAAGCTTTGTGCACTTGAGTGAAGCCGGCATGCTTGACAGTACCTCAAATAAGAACGAAATCAACCAGTGCACCTGACTTCACGGGAAGTAGCACCCCTGAAAGCGACCTTAGAGGACTTGCTTTGGTGCCTGAGCTATGCAGTCAGCCACTTCTTCCATGCAGTTGCATGTTGATTCCTAACTCTTCTTAAGCAACAAAAGACTACTGAAGATCGTCCACCGCTTAGGCTAACCAGTGAACCATAAAATCATCGTATTTTTCCCTTCATGAGCCCGTGCCGGGCATTTATCGAGGGCCCGGCATGAAGGTCATAATTATCAGCCTAAAGGACAGATTACACCTATACAAAAGAGAATATCCCCGAATTCTTCGTAAGCTCTGTTTTTTTGAACTGACAGGGCCAATAACGAAAGATTAGTGTAGTATAGAGCTGTCATATCGTGTGTTCTCAATACACATTTCCCTCCACTTGTAGCCCAACCTACAGAAGCCTGAGCAACTGAAGAGCTGATCAGCGGGTTCATCAAATCTCTTCTGATAAAACTGTCGGAAACTCACATGGTCGCACACTGACTGTTGCAGACTGATGTAATCTTCCGAAGTGGTTTCTTTGTAGGATTCTTTGTAAATCACTTTTTGTCCACTTATTGAGAATGTGCCTCGTATTTGCATGCAAAAGTCTGAAATGTAAACAAATATACACATCATAGGTTTGATTTACGATTAACCTTTTGAATTTCCACAACAGAACTGCATCTTTTCATAGATTTCACACATACAATGGAAAAGTACGTTACTTTCCTATAAGAACAGGACAAAGCAGGTGATAAACGTTTATTAATAGTTTTTCACGAGTAATAAATGAATGCAATTTCCTCAATGTATTTCATCGGTAGTGTGCTACTGAGCTTCGAGCCAGGGAACAAGTTTGCTTCATGATGAATGTTTCGTACGCCAGGCTAGTCTATCTCCACCCAACGAACAGGAAGTTAGTGAATTTTGCAAAAGCAATGTTTACGAAGCTCAACGCGCTAATGAAAAACAGAAGGAAAAATCACTAAACTGGGCCGGTAACTCCCGGGTCCCCACTGCATGTCCACTTTTCCTAGGAAATCTGATTTCTTTGAGGGTAAGAATTCATGTATTGTGTCAAAGAATGTGAAAGGAAATACTCTCTTATCTCGTGCATACTTCAGGGGAATTCTGTAATACTGAGCTCCGCGCATGATTAGACGGAAAACCGGATTGAGGTAGTTATTCTAGATAGCTTCGTATAGTTTGGCCACCGCAGATATCAGAGCACCCGGTACATTTAACTTCCATATGGACTTACCACACCTCCATTCAATGGGCATAGTGGGGAGCGCTATCAGTAAAGCTAGTGCTTTCTTTGTCTGACACCGCCTCGTGACAATTTAGACGCCACACATACACTGCTTAAACAGAGTGGGTTCGATTCATTTCCACGAAATGCACATTTCATCCTCGCTAATAAGGCACCCTTTCAAGATCAGTGTGCACATACTTTTTCAAACTTCTCAACCTTATTTCAACTGAAAAGTATTTAAAATTCCTGTACAACAACCTCATTTCATGGGATTACCTACAATAAAACTCAATGTTTTAGAGCCTCCTGTTGAACTCAGTGGAAAACATGTTGCTCTACACGTAATATATTACCCATAAGTCCCTGAAAACTCTTCAACAGCCCACGATCGGTTTTGCGCTTCTTGGGGCTAATCAGATGGGCGCAGTTTCCGATTTTCATTCAAGGAATTAACGAAATACGCTCATTTACGTAATAATTTGATTTTGAAGAGAAACTCAGTTTTGACCCAGCTGAATCTGTCGTTTATGATGTTTTAAGCAAGAAGGGCGAAACCTGTCTTGGGCTGTCGAAGAATTTCCAACAACCCTATGAGCAGTACATTACATACAATTGTATACATTGCATACAATTTGCCACGATATCTCGGACGTCGTGTTAACTGAAACATGGGGCGGCCTGGTACAATACAACCAGCTGCTTGGGGACATCATGCAAGTGACGGTATATCATTAATGCTGCTGTTTCTTTCACCTTGTATCGTCTCAACAGAGGTCTGGTTCTTAGGGATAAAAGCAACAAAAGTCTTTGAGTCTCCCGAAGTACACCACGTTCCATTTTTCTCGACGATCAGGTTTGACATCAGGTGATTTGTCGCGAAGTCGAATTTACTTGAAGTAACGAACTCTTCCCTTACCATCGGCAATTGCGTCACGGAAGGCATGTAACCTCGACCGATGAAGTTGTATGAATAAGGCGAATAACTGGCGAATAGACTGTTTAACAGATACAAAATTAAATTGTAGGTAAACATAAAAAATGTTCCTACAAGTTATAACAGATTCTACGTAACACACCAAATGGTTCCTACGTCATCGAATCACGAAGGGTCCAAAAAACTTGATTTCGAATTGACCACATGCCCCTAGTTGCTAGTGAATGCCGTTGCATTTGAAGGCTGACGTGAGGAAAGCCAATAAAAACAACCTAACATATAGTCAACCTTCACATATGTTATCAGTTGTCATATAGTGCAGCAATGAGTTTGGTGAGCATATATTTTGGTCTGAAATTTCACTTCGTCCCACTCATACAGGTTAGTATAACAATTGAGACGTATCGTAATGGAGGATCTTTATATCCGTGCATGAAGTGGACTGTAACCAAATACGCTTCTTGCGCAACTAATCAAAGAGCCATCTTGTACAAGAACTTTCATAGACAATGTATCAAATGTTCAGTAGAGGGAGATGTTACTGTAACCTCTGTCATGTGAAAGTTCGTCTGCTGTGAAAATGGTTCATGAGTTGTTCATTTCGGCTCATTTGATAGAAAACTCATAACCTTCTCTGTTCGTCAAACTACGATATTAAAATGGGTATCACTAAACAAGTGTGAATGACGCAATCTCATCCGTGAGGTTTTACGCTGAACAGACTGGTCTGGTGCTTTTCAAACACTTCTCGTCTTGGTACTGCTCTCTTTAACTGACGTGCTTCTTATCGCATTTAAAAGTGCATTTAATGAGAGTAACTTAGATGAAATTCAATTCGCGGATTCGAACATGAGATGCAAACTACTTTGAGGAAGCAACCAACTTTGAGCTGTACTTTAGTCAGATCCCACCAAGTGAGTGTGACAAATTGGCTGCTGTCTGATGCTCGTGTTTAAAGTCATACCTTGGCCTAGCTACCACAATTTTGCTTTAGAGACTTATGAATTGTGCCTTACTTTGTTCCACTCGCTTATCAAATCCGTGACTGACAGTTTTCTCTTTTACAGTTCTCCCCGACAGTCTGCTAAAATCTCGGCCAGAGTTTGGAGACTCTAGACTAACCTAATTCGTATGCGAGCTACCAGGCTTTACGCCAAAATCCATGACGGATTTATTCACAGGACGGGTATCTGCCTTGCGGATCTCCGAAAGTCTGAGGAACGATTCGGGTGATAGAGATAGAACACTAATATCTTTAGAAAAATTGTCAACACGAGTGACTAATATGCGAAATAATTTCCCCCTGGGGCTTCTAGGGCTTCATAGAAATTTAGGTGAGCAACTCAGAGCAGCACCAAAGTTAGCTGTCCTTTGTGCATCTCATTAGATTCCTGTATTACACTGGATTGTTAGGCGGAATAAGGCCAAACTAAAACAGAAAGAGTTGGCATAGCCAACAGGACGTTTCTATCCCCATACTGTTGAATGAGTGACTAACTGAATGAGTTTGGAAAGTTACCGAAGCGTCACAACAATTTACCGGCTTACTTGATTCATCTTTGCTTACAGCAGAGGATGCCGTCTCAAACTCTTGGTTATTCTGTGAATGTAAAGAAAGGTCCTGAGTAATTTCGTCTACACGATAAAGATCCGTTTGAGACGTTTGGCCACTCTGACTGATGGTGCGGTCCGACTTCTTATCATCAGTGTAGGTAAGACTGTCTGACGGAGTCGCCTCCAGAAAACACACTAAAATGAAACACGTGTAATCCGATATAAATTTCTAGTGCAAGATCACAACCGAAACTATTTTTTCCAACCGATTAAATTCTTGTTCTTTGGAAGACAGCTCCTCCAGTGTTTTACTCTGATTCGTTGAGTGAGCGATCAACGTTTCACACAACTATATTATAACTTCTTCCTAAACTTCGGTATGTCAACACAACTTTTCAGAGAACAAGTGCACAAGTAGGTCAACCATATTTCAGGGTTTGGAATATATTAGAACGAGAGTACCGTTTATACTGCTGTCGTATCAACACCAATGGCTTGATCTACATGCAGCCCGTGCTTGACTACTGGAATACTTTTATTGGGTTATTCATCTATCATGAATTATAACTTCTTGCAACCTTGACTTTTCTGCATAATCATTCAGTACGTCTTACATGCCGTAAGAATCTGGTAGACGGGTGGTTGATTTTAAAATATAACAAAAAACATTACAGAAGTTTATAATATGCCCTGCATACTTCCGCTGAGTAAATTTAGCTCGCTGCGGTATGAAAAAAACTCTTCAAACACCGAACGACTGAGTTGGGTTAAATAAAAACCAACTGAACTCGAAGCTATTTTATCTTTACTGGAACTTACCAGGGTTTTCTTAACCATATCTTTTTTACGAGGAAATCCGCGACCCTGAGTTACGTGTCAGTATTCCATTATACACTGTCGGGGAAATTAAACGCTGAGGCATTTTCGCGATGGGCATTTGTGCTCACTAACGTCTTCGAGATATGGTAGTAGGATTTTTTGTTAGTCCCTCTTTGCACAAATTTCATACACCTTGTCAACCTGGGCCTTCTACAACTGCCAAGATAATTGTACTGTTATACCCTTGCGCCTAATTCGCTGTGTGGTTCGAGATGGCTGATAAACTGTGCGTCATTAGTGATGACAACTGTCATCGGTTCTTTTATCCACCAGCCCGTGATACTGAATATCTCCTGCTATGCTAAAGTTGGTGACTCTTATAACAATCAGTCTTCTCTTGGAGAGAGTGAAAAACCGAAAAAGCGGGGTGTTGTGTAAATACAGTTAAACTAGGCAAAGTATACGCAGAAATGTGACCAACCATCATGGGTTACCATTTTGATGCAGTCTGATTAAAAGATGAAACATCCAGTGAAGCCATGCGACATACTAAGAAAGTGTGACCACACATCAGAAGTCTCATCTTACGATTCAATCACATCTTATTCCTCCCCATCCAATTATATCTCTAATAACTGACCTGTCGCGAATGTCGAAAATTTGTTGCGTGAAACATCTCGCTACTTGCAAGTAATCAAGTTTTGCTCAAATTGCTGGAAGCTGTTTGGACAGCCACACAAAGAAATTGTAAGCCTCCTACGGAGATCTGATTGTTTGACAAACCAAACGATACCGCAGCGCTCGATATACTCCAAAGACACTGATGATGAATGGTATTATATCCGGTTTGAAGGCAAGGCGACGTCGCCGTCGTACCTCATGTCCAACTCCCATTGAGGAGGCTGAGCGTAGGACATCTGACTAAATAGAAAGACCCAACCTGAGAAGAATTCTGCATTGATTGCACGCCACTCATCTGCAAACAGCACGATCTTGTGAAGCGTCCTTCATTAGAGTTAAAGTGACGGACTAAGTACTGAACTGCGATTAACTGTTTCACGATAGACGACGAGTGCATTAAAATGACGAAGCTTTCAAGATGTCCTAACCAATTTTTCAGGTAAGAAATTTAGTAAATCTGAACTCCGGTGTTTGAACACTCTACTTCGAAGTATCAGAAAATTTACTCTCCCGACTGTCCTCTGTACATCTGAGTAAATATATCCTCTCACTTACCGAGTGACCTAGAGACTGTGGTATCGATTTAGAATGACTTTTGGATAATGTAAACAAAAAATAAAAGACATTCTTCCACACATTGGCTCATTTGTGAAACAACGGGGAGAGTATTGTAACAAAAATGTCGTTATTGTGATATGTTCCTGAAGGTCTTATGATGTTAGTCGGATTCTTACTAGAATCTCTTAACTTTATACTACGGATCTAGGTCATATGTGGATGTGGTTGTCTTGTAAGACGTAAATTTCGTTTGATTCTTTTTCCCAATTCTGTTCTTATTAAATGGATGAGCCATAAGAAAACTGGAACTTACAGAAGAATCTAGGGCACTTTTGCCTAAAGTCAGATTCCTCTTTCGATGCTCAATTGCGAACCCTGGTTTTCCATGAAATTGTGTTAAACTCTTTTTTAAGTGCCTTCAAACAATTCACACTTTACTCTTTACTTTAAAGATGGTTTCATTCAACAGTTTGCATTGGATTCCAGGAACACTATGCACGTAAGGCGAAGTCTTCATAACATGACTCATACAATCAATTTTTCCCCGTAAATTTATCTCTTTGGCAGCAGTCTAGTGGATATCCCTAGATTTCACGATTTTCTAGCCCTAGCCATTCTCCAGCTAATGGGAACTAGATTTGAATACGTTAATTAATGAAGTTAGGTCAGTAGCACTAAATAGCAGTACACTGAACCTCCCATCCTAATCAATGCAAATGTTGTCAGGTAGGAGCCGGAGTGGTCGAACTCCATGTTTGTCTGGACGTTGACCAATCATAGTAAAAGTCACGGAGTTGACCTGCGGATCAGTCTCCCAAATGACCTCTCATAATCAATGACGCACCTTGATCAACGAGAGTTGTGTTTACACATGCGCATCGATGTCAACCGCTTGCACAGTGAAGCGCCACTGACAGAAGACGCCCCTATAAGTTGGCCTGACCTTATGGCGAATTGATTGTAACCGAAATATCCAACTCCAAGAACACTGCCTTTTTCAGTCAATACTATTGGTTCGGCTTCTAAAGATGTAAGCTTCGATGAGCTGCTGTGTATTAGCATCAATTATAGTTTATCAACCAGCTTTCATTATTTAGAATCGTGCCTGATGGATGGAAGTAGACTGGCGTGATATCCATGCAAGGCTCCCAGGGCCTCTCATCCCAGATTGATCAGTAGTTAGAGGTCTGACAAACGTGGTCTCCTTGGCCCCTGGTTCGGGACTGAATTAGTTGTGATCACTTGTTCCTTTAGAATGGCGATGCACTAGTATGATCATTATCATATCATTATCATTATCACTATTTGCCACACTCCGCAAGGGGTAAGCGAAAACAGACAACTGCTGACGCTTCCCTCACTCCACTTCTAAGTACTTATCATTATCATATTTGCCACACTCCGCAAGGGGTAAGCGAAAACAGACAACTGCTGACGCTTCCCTCACTCCACTTCTAAGTACTTTTTCCTCCACTCCCTCAACCACACCAATAACTCTATCTGTAAGCCCGTCCGTCTGGACTGACGACCCCGTTTGTCCTGAATGGGTTTTCACCGCAACATCCGCTCATCATCTGGCGCTAACTGCCTCCGGCATCCCAACGTCATCTTGCAAGCCTCAGCGCTCATTTTATCTAACCGCTTTCAGCCTTCACACTCAGAACAAAGCTGGACAAAAGCTGCTCTTGCTCTCGCACTGGGCCCACCTGGCATTATTACGTGCTGTTTGTCAGAAATAATAATTCAGAGTGCAAGAACAGTGGTTGAGCCTAACTGCCCCATCCTTCTCAACTTGCTTCCGGCTGCGCAACTCTGGTGATCTAGGGACATCTGCAGCAGGATGAGCGGGGATCTGTGCCGTCCTAGGTGCTAGGGCGGGCTGATCCTTGCTTGACTGGATATCCGGCGATTGCCATCTCTGTCGTTGGTCCGTCAACTTCCGTAAGGTGGTCTCATAAGCAAGAAGTTGCTAGTCATCTGCTAGTTGTATTAGCCCCAACTGACTATAACTCTGTCACCATCAAAAACAAGTTTTATAACCTCCTTAGTGCTCTGTTGTGGTTGCCGGAGATCTGAATTGGCAGTTGGGTAGGCTTAGCGCATCCGAGACTCATTTGGGTGGTCGTGTGGATTACACTCACTGTGTATGGACAATGGTAGACGATTCCTTGGGCTATGTGCAGACCGTAGGCTGCTTTTATGGTACTAACTTCTGAAATAAACGAAGTCGTATGTACACATGGTGCCTTCCAACATGGTGCCAGCCACGGACCCAGGTTACTCACATAGCCACCAGTTACCGAGGGCGTACATCAATAACAGAATGCGACTCGTTTCGGAACACGTGTAGATTCCGATCATATGCTCCTCTACGGTGGCTTCTCCCCTTTGCTTTCCAGGGCGGTATACGGAACGGAAAATCCCCTGGCAACTGGGAGGTTGGTAGATCCCAAATTTGGATAAAAATACCAGAATCGTCTTCCTGACTTCCATGAACTTGCTCCACCGTCATATGTGCATTCTTGAAAGAGACCAGCATATATTTGCTACAGTGCCTGTGGCACGGCAATACCAGGTCCGTTTAAGCAATGGATACCAGACGGAAGAGTCGTATTGCTTAAATCCGGGGGAAATATTGTCTCTGGCCCAGAAAATAATTCAACCAGACGAATTATCAGACGTCGAGGCAAGCGTAGCGCAAGCGCCAACCGCAAAGTCTGGTGGATAGGGAAGGCTATATGAATGGGGGAGACCCAGAAAGCCGTGAATGTCTGAGGATTGTTTCAGTTGATCCGTGTGACCTGCCCCAGGAAACCGCTCGTGAGCGAAACAGTCAAGGATTAAGTTGGTGCGAAAGTTTTCAACAAAGAGGGCCCCATCAACTGCTGAGCGGAGCCCTTCGCATAGAATTCTCGTGGTTATATACTGTCACTCATTCGGATCCTTAAACCTAAGTAGAGCGCGGATTGGTGCACCTGGAACCGTTTACAGTCTCGCAGGTTTATGAGAGCACATTTCCTGTCAAGCGTCCCAAAGCTCTTGGTCCGGATGATCTCCCATCCACCATGTGCAAGGATGGGATGAAGTGCACAATCAACGCAGTTTTGATCTCTTTGCCTGCAACTGGTAAAAAGAGACTATCCCACAGAACTAGGAAGCATTGGTGACAGCACCCATTTTCAAAAAAGTGGATCCGTGATGAGTATGGTAAGCACGAGGGGATTAGCTTGACATTGTCGTAACGACACTGCTGACACCAATCGTACTTCGTCGTCCTTTTATGTCCTTGGAATGTTGACTCAAGAGCAGTTAGCAGGTTTCCGGTCTGGTAGGGGTTGCGTTGATCACAGATCACCAGGTGTTAGAAAAATTCCTTATTCTAAGGCTGCTTACTATTTCAGTATTCCTAGATTTCCGAGGCGCGTTCGACTCAGTTGACCGGTCTATTCCCCTTAACACGCTTCCAGAACAATAAATGTCCCGGAAGTTTGGAAATATGATAATTTCTTTGTGTTGTCAGACGTGCTGGTGCACAAGAGCATTCGGAAAGCTTCAGAAAAGCTTGCATACACAAAAGGCTGTCTGTCAGTGGTATTTAATGCCTTCATTCCTATTAACTTTTTTGATCAACGAGATAATGGGATGAACACCAGGTCTTTAGAACCCCGGTGTTCGAAAATCTATATCTTGCAGCGCCTCCAACCAAAAGTGATGGGGATTACATGGTCCCCACCCTGAAAGGACAATCACGTAACACGCCACTTACAATGTAATGAGAAGCACTCGAAGTTGTGGAGCGTTTCACGTATCTTGGAACTTGTATTAGCTCCGACTGTAGTGCGACAGTTCCTTGTGCGAATATGTAAGAATCCAGTCATGTTTGCTAGCTTGAGGTATCTATGGAAGCAAAGCGGCATATTTCTAAATCTCAGGGCACCTGTGTATCAGGCTACAGTATGTCCTGTTTTTTTGTACGGCAGTGGGAACTGGCCTCTTCGATACCTTTAAGTCTCTGACAAACGTTTGCCTCAAACCCATAACTCATGGGAGCCACTGCCGGTGACGGATATTGGTCCACTAATCGATTTTCAGCAATTCAGTAGGTCAACGGCCATCCTTACAAATCACATGGCCAATACTCACTCTGAAACCAAATGCAGTTGCCAGTACGATACTGCTAGTTAACACCGGTTGTACCTTGTGTGATGATGACGGTCATTTTGGAATCTCAGCGTACACCCTTGTATTCATTGTTAGAAGGCACCGAAGCTCAACCACAGTCAAAGGACTATTCTACATCAGCTGACTCCATCTGAATGACCAACCGGCCTAGTGAATGGTTAAAGGGAATCTAGTAAATCTGGTTTAGATGCCGCTTCAGGTATTCATTGAATGAGTGAATGTGAATCTTTGAGGTTAGCGAGGCGAAGCTACCCATGCCAACAGGCACAGTCAAACGGCCAAATGGGGTGGATCGATAGTTCGAGTAACAACTGGGGTTAGCTACGGATTCATGTCCATCACAGAATGACAACCATCTTTAGGACAGCACCAAATAGGTTATCACTATAGGCCATAATTATATTTTTCCATCTCATAAAGCTTGAGAGTTAAGATGAAGTATTGTCTTCCTTTTCTAAACCACGAGTGTCCACCGTAAGATTGACTAGTGTCAAGTCAGATGCTCAGACAGATTCTGTAAAACAAGCATGAATCAGCAGACTTGGATGCGAGTAATTGATCAGTCAAATTGATCAACAAAGTGGGGATGTCACCACGTCTCCCCCACTACCGACGGCTCCCAAGGTAATTTCGACGGCCGTAGATTGGCTCCTATTGCTTCAATACATATTAAAGCAAGCTCAAATGGTACGTCAGATGTTGAAAATGTAAAAGACTTCTCGCGCATAGACTAGGTAGGCTTAAACCTTTGGCTATTTTTCTCGGCAAAGGTTGCCGTGCGATGCGAAAGGTTTCTGGAAGGTAAATGGGAGTATATTTTTGTAACAGGCAGCTTACTTAATCCGTTTTATACTACAGCCGCATACCGACAGCCAGTGACCGCCCAGGAGGCGTACTGGAGAAGCAAACTTTGCATGGGATTTTAGCCACAGATTAAACAGTCATTTCGTCGAAGTTCAGGAATATTGCTAGCAGAATTGCAGGCAGTGAAGCGTCACCAGTAGCACATTATTGACATGCAAATACACGCCTCATTATATATCCTATTCAACACAATAAAAATCCGCCTACTTGAGAAGCCCGGTCCATCTGTGAAAGCTTCGTTACCTCCGACTATTGGTTGTAGCTGTGTGTAGATGGCAGATAGATAGTTAACCAGCTCCGTTCTGCTGCCATTGTACAGATCCAAAAAATATCGATCCATGACCATCTGTAAGGTAAGTTCAACAGGCCAGCCTGAGGAACTGGAGTCGAGCACTTTTCCGCGAGAGACAAAAATATTGCAATTTTTGATGTCCTCTTGTGTGACATCCCCACCGAGAATATATACGTATTTTACCTATAAATACAAACAGGAGCAATAAATAAGACCTCAGAAGGTAAATTTCCTAACATGAAAAATCCCGCGTTTCTGAAAATTTGTTTTGAGCGTATTCTCAATTCCAACTTTATAGCCACCAACCATGGAAGCCCCTGCCTAGCGAAAAAAACATTAACGTAAGTCTAATGGCAACACAACTGGGTGATATACCTCATGATCCCAAAGGTAGTTGGTTCATTTCAAATGGTGTTTGCCGTGAGAGGCGTATTGTTTTTCCTATCAGCACTGACAGTAGTGTCCAAATCCTAGGCTCATCCACAAACTACCGATCTTCTCTTAATACTCGATATCAGGATCCGTGAAATCACATAATTCAACATATCCTCAGCGACATTAGCGATAGTTGTTGATTCGAGTATTGGCCAGCACATCGGCTACGATCTGAAAAGCCTACAATCAACAATTTCTTCGTTCACTTGGCACACAGAAATCGGTACTGCTAATTTTACATTCCTAAGGTGTCCTCGATTATCCTGATTTCGATACATCAGTCGAACTCGCATACCTGATGAAATCGACGCACTTGTTTTCGTTATTCACTGTCGGTTTTTGCTTGGGCACATACAATGAAGCTGTATACGTGGGTGTGGAGCATCAGACGTGACACTTTTAAACATCGCTGCTAATCATGGAAGTTTGAAATTTTGTTTCCATCTCTGTGTGGCTATGAGACTGAAAGCATCTTGCGTTTCCACAAGCTACTGAAAATCTACCACAAGGGTTGATGATCACACCAGTTCGACAGCAAAGTTTCTGGAATCGGAAATGATTCCCTTGATTGTCGTTAGCATGTCAGTGCATATCTTCTACTGCTATTGTAAGTTAATATTCAGAATCTTGGGATACATGTGGTCGAATGAATCTAGTCATGGAACGATGGTGTAGACCAACAAAGGACAACAAAGGACGTCACCGTGAGGGTGCCGTTGACTACCGACACGTATTTGGTCCCCATCAATGCGCCTTCGTAAGACGCAGGTAAGTTCGGCAAAAGAGCCTTCGACGAGCAGTTGCAAGGTGATGAAACCCGGGTATGCGCTTATGCAATTGACAAAGCTGATAAAAAAAACAAATCTGTCCTTTTGAATTCCCTTTGTTACTCTACTCTATAGATGGCGATTTATACTTTGTAGTATGTAGTTTCACGAACTCCAAGCCTATGCCGCTAACGATGATGGTCTCCATATTGGGTCCCCGAGGATTTTCAAAGGCACTTTTTTATGGCAACGCTCGCCACACCGACAGCTTTCCTGGCTGTCACACGGCCAAGCATAACTTATGTGTTTCTTGGTAAAGATGTCCCGTCAGTACTTGATTTGCACACACACTTGTCACATCACATCTGCGGATTTTCCTGCCACTGAATTCATTTAAGCGTTAACGTATTTTGGTGGAGGGGAATGCATATATCTGAGTCTGTGTCTGAAAAAGCAGACTTGCATGAAGAAATAAGACTAGTCCAAGGTTGAACATCTACAGCCTGAAAGCATGTAAAATTTCTTCCCCTTTAATAAGATGAAAGCAACATACAAGCCTAGTCGTAATACGGACCACAGATCATATTGGCACAGTGCCTATCGGCACAGACCTATGGTTTGACGCCACAGAACCTGAGAGTTCACTTTTCAACTAGTAACTGTGTGCTGAAAATGGGTGTGATGCATCATGTTATGAAGTTTCGAGTAAATGGTTTTACAGTCCATAGATATCAGTCTTTCAATGGAGATACGAAGGATGACTTAGGAATACTAAGGAGTCATCACTGGTAGAATCCGGCAGCCGTTTCGTCTCAAGCGTCCCGCAATTCAGCACTCAGCGTACTAGATAGTTCAGTCAACTGATCAGGATCAGTTTGGTTAAATTCATGTTGGCTTTTGCAGCACTACAATTCTGATCATGCTGTTTACGCAGACCCCAGCAACCGCAGTGAAGACGTCTTCGTTATTCAGAAAAAACTTGCTAAAATCCAGGACCACTCACCCCTTCACAAACAGATAACTTCAGGCTAGCAAATTCCTTCGAATGCCGCTGGGCGTAGGCCGGAGTGTAGAGAAGAGGGCTACCGTTGATTTTGTACCGTCCAAATATCTGGAAGCAGAAATCTGAAAAGAATAATTAGTTTTAAAATCTACTTTCAAACCGTAAAAGTTGATACCAAATCACAATCATAATGTGAGCGTACTAGTATCATTTTGAGCACTCCTTAAGCATGACCCATATGTCATGAAAACAGAAGGCTAGGAAGCACCAGGTGTGAAGCTTCAATACTAGCGCAGATTACCCTGGCCACATGAAACCGCAAAAGGCTCGCAAGTTTTAGTTGCCCGTGAGGTTTGTGCGGTTGTCAATATGAGGTTTGAAGCAAATTCTGGTTTTAATCCCACTCGAGTTTCACAAGAAACAACCGGCCGCCAATTTACATATGCAAACAAGCACTACAGAATCTCCTCTAGGTGCTCTGCTGCTGGAAAAATTAGAGCTTTAATCGTCTACAAAATTGCTATATTGCACCGGAAAAATCATACCGTCACACGACCTGACATGGTGCATTTTCGAGGGTTTCCATTTTTGACCCAAATTATCTCGCCCCGCTGAGATCACGTAATTTTACATAAGATGAAAAGTGAACACTGGAGGTGGAATGCGAATCACTTCTAGAATGGGAAAAAACGTCGAAAATGTGTTTAAAAGGTGAATAAATCCGTTTTTCTTCATTTTTCCCGAATTACCATTGTGAACTAACTCGAATCCCAGCCGGTCTGTTAATATCATCAGTGGATACATTCCCACAGTGCGCAAAATAAAGTTAAAAGTACGGTGATCGATTTAAACGAAAACAAAGATTTATGCCTTTTTCCCACTACTTCGGAGTTAGTCAACACTATTCATGGGAACAGTGGATTGAATAGTTTATTGCAGGTGGATGGGAAACCCAACCAATTCCTAAAACCAGAGCTCCATTACATCAGATTTTCAGTATCATTTGATAGGGCGTAATGGGAAAATAGCATTTGGGTAACCGAAATGCACACACTATTCGAGGAATGACAGAACCAAAGGCGATACCGCTAGTTTTGCCGAATGAAGTTACGTAGGAATGACTTCGGGACATGCATCTATCGGCTCCCTATTTAATTTGTCATCATTAACTTTCACTTTCCAGGGCGAAGTAAAAAGAATGTGTGAAGATTATTCACACGGAGTCTGATTAATTCAAGCTGGGTAGTTGGTGTTCCAATCAAGCAGTGTATTACTTTAGATTTGTTAATACTTCTGAGGCGTGTTCAAGTCACCAGACCACCTTTGTACAGTGGGCGAATACAATACTTTCTTTTATTTGTTTGCCCTTGAAAATGGGACAAGTCGCTAAACACACCTTATTTCGTTGTCTCAGTATCGAACATGATCCTCAGGGTCGAAGTCGAAAGGCGAAAGCAATAGTTTCAGAGGAAACAGTCAAACTAGATGACTTTTTTTAAAATAAGTACAGCACTTGCAGGATAGTACCAAAAGGTTTGTTGAATTTACTTAGCTAGTTTTTATCATTTTAAGAGCCCATGATGGGTTCGTTTGCTCCCAAACTCAAACGCTGAAAATTGTGCACCCTCCCGAAATTTCGATGCACTTCCTTTCCCAGTGAACTTCTTGTGAGAGGCCATCACGGTAAACGTTGGAAGCGTACCTAAACGAAAATTCTCCCTACATAAAATGGCGTATCGAATTGACGATGAAAATTCCCTTACTGTCAAAAATAGTATGACCGGAAGAATCAAGCCACACATCGAAAAACTGCACTTTTCTGCATTTTTACCACAGATCAAGGATAGTTTTTGCACCTTTTTGCCCAGCAGTTAAAAATTAATGCAAGAAATAAAAAGGCTACTAATGAGTTCTCAAAGGCTTGCTGGAAATTATTCAAGCTGTTTGAGCTGCGCAATTCGTATGCTGAGTTAAGGCAGAAAAAGCATTCTTTCACGTAGAACCTTGGAGGACTACTGAATGCATGTGGAGTTAATTTCCTTCGCTCAGTGATTTCCGTCGGAAGTAACAAGGTGGTTGTTCGAGCGTTGACCTAATTTCTATCACTGATTCACTTTGAAAAGAGGCTCCACGTGCCAAGAAAATTTCTTCATATTCCATTGATTAGTGTCGTGAAGTTTGTTGCAGCAATGGGCTAGCAGAAATAACATTATGTGGACCCTTCTTTGGGAACTGAACTGAATATATGTAAACCTATGCACCTCAGCGACGCGACCGAAACGCAGTGGTCCATTTTCCGTGCAACATTGGCTCCGAAACGTCCATCAAATCCTGCGCAGCCTTTGCGATTATTGCAGGTTGTTTGCGCCATGCTAAGACGCTGTTCATTTATGTTTTCTGTTAGTGAAGCCGTTGAGGTGCCTACACTTGTGGATTCAAGTGTTGTTAGAGGTGGATTACCCTGAACGAAGTTTGCTAAGAGTGTGGCACGCTCCCCTCAGCTAGGGAGCTCAAGCAAAACACCACAAATCAGTGGTCTGATCAGTTGGCAGTGATTAGCATTTAACACTGGTAGCGTCAACAAGACGTACCGTTTGCTCTTTGGAGCACCTGGCCCAGTCACACTGAGTCAGCGTGGGACATCTATCCATTAGCACTAGTACTACTGAGTGTCAGACAGTCAATGATTCTAAAACAAACTAAGACGCTGGAATTGATGTTTCTATCGGTGCATGAGCCGAGGTAAACAAGGATGAAAAGTCTACCCAAAAACAGCTGTGATTTCAAGCAACCACTTGTTTGAAACAAGGGACTTTTCCCCCAATCCTTACTAATAACCACAAAAGAAAATATGTGAGACTTGTATTCTCAAAGATTGACTGTATGTCACCCAAAAAATGTAATGCCCGACTATTTGGATCACAGTGTGGCCAGTCTGCAAGAAAAGTTGCCGTCGGTTTTCACCGAAACCGAAAATAGGACAACTTAAACCATCATGCATGCAGTAAAAGTTATGTAGTGTTTCGGACTACATCTTGTCCCGCGGTATCCTTCAACAACAGCATTCCATTGAGTGATTTGTATATGAACAGGGCCATCCGAACTCATGCAAATTGGTTAAAAATGCTTATGATGACAATTTTTTCTGAGCTGTTTTAAACCATTTTCTCACTACGGAACCTTGCGATACTACGTTTGCTATTTGTGGCAAGTTCTAAGAATAGGCTGTTTTTCTGTTGACATTGGAATTTGACAACACTTTCCAGAATTTGCTTTTACGCTAGCAGAGGAACATTAAATATACTCTGTAGAGCTTGTAATGATACTATCAGTCAGGTTTATTCCAGGGCGCTTTACATGTGGAAGTGGTGGCACGATTCAAGAGATAACTAATAAATGGGGCGTCAGATTCCTCATGTTGTGTAAAAGTAATATGACGTCGAAAAAGTTTAAATGTTTAAAATTCAGAATTTAAATGACGATTGATTTTGGCGTCGCAGTAATACACTTACTATACCTACCTCCACTTTCAGTGAGTTCATCCACCCGCCGTAGCCCTTCTGTTCGTTTGGTCTCATACTTGTCCGAGCCAAACAATTTTCTCTGAGATGGTTCTTCTGAGCCTACTCGTCCATTTCTGCTTGTTTGCTGGTCCAAATGAGCTGTATGGTATTAAAAAAAAAACAGAAAAACTGATCACTTGTACATAATGTACTGAGGTGTACCGAATTCTGACATGTCTTGGTTGTCAAATGGAACAACAGAAAAACGATCACTTGTACATAATGTACTGAGGTGTACCGAATTCTGACATGTCTTGGTTGTCAAATGGAACAATATAGCAAAAAAGCACCGGTTCATTACCCAGCGCACTGTCGCTTATGTGATTGCAACATATCATAAATAAAAGTAAACCCCTTTACCTAATGAAATAACGAGCAAATGGACAAAGCTTATTCCGCATGTGCGCATGTTAACACTGCCCAGGCAGGCTCTATTAATCACATAAATTGACCTCACCGCCAATCACTCCACAGCTTCAAGGTCATGCTGATGCACGGGGGGCGATTGGTTTGAATCTTCATGTCTCTTAGTGAGTGCAATATATTTAATGAACGAATGACAACAAACCATGAAGTCATCTTCCCTTGTGATTCACTGAGGGCTGTATCAGCTTTATGCAGTAGTGAACAACTCAACTTCCGCTGTGGAATCTGTTTGTGTACCAAGATCTGGTTTTCAGTGAGAACAAAGGTAAAGGGCACCATTCAAGAAAGCGATCAGGACAATCGGATGGGAAAATGATATCTATATGCATGTTATTAGTCAGAATTGTGGAAAATGACCGGTAATATTTTTAGTGATGCATAGCCTTCTCGATGGTATCTCGTGTATCTAATATTAAATCACATGAAGATACGTGTTTTGGATACTCATCCTAATTAACTGTAATGATAATTTGACACGGTAAAAAGTGTCTTGATATAGTTATGGCGGACTCTCGCTTATAAAGTTAATGTAAGCTACTTCAAAACGTTTTTTAGATCCAGTCTAACGTGCAATTAATCACCCTGATAATATACAAAATCTCCCCAATCACCGGACCTACAGCTTGCACACGATTTTGAGTTTATAGCGTAAGAAGAGCGCAATGGACCTAGAGATTTCTAAAAACGGGATTCATTCTGGTATTAGTAAATCACTATGAGTACATTCCTCATTCAGACCGAATAGTTCAGATACGTCACTTGTTTTTAAGGCGTTGTTGAAAAACAGCATGAAGTAAAGACCATACACCACTGATGAGACCACAGCATCCATTTTCCATCAACAAAAACACAAAAGTCTTTAGTGTTCAAGCATCGGAACACCTTTGAGCATTCATTCCTGAGAACAACCAACAATCCATGCAAAAAAGACTAATTCAAAAAGGATTCTGTCATCGGAAAGATCGGGACGTTTAAATTCCACTCTTCAGCTTATCCGATGAGATTCCAAGTAGCATATTCATCGTTAGTTTGTCCAACGGACTATCCAAATGGCCAGAATGCCTCCAGAAGAGTTAGAATGGAATGTCTGTCTTTGTTCTGACGGTTGATAGCCTAGCGCCATCGATTTCATCTTGGTTCCATTTGATGTGGTATCAAAAAGCCAGGTCGCTGGTTGAACATGCATGCCTCGAGCATTCGATTTTATCGCCACGAGCACGTGATAACTAAAAAGACAGCGACAGCCGCATGGCCCAGTTTAGGGAACGTGGCTCGCGGCTTGGTTATCTGACCACTGACTTTATCTGTTATAGTACATTCCATTTATGCGTTTCTGAAAATATTTTAACCAATAGCAAACTCATTCTCCTCGTTCCGAAGTGAACAATCCACGATAATGTCGATGATGGGGTTAAACAGGCAGAACAATAATGACAATTTGTTATGTAGAGTTTTTCAGAGATTCCATTATGATCTTCAGCACGACCGAAATGTAAGAATGAGAGACAAGAAAAATGCCATCAAAATTCCAGCGCATCCTCTTTAGCAAAGAATATGATCATCCATTTTTGAGGCTCTTCTGATAGACAGAAAAAGTAAATGCCAGCGAAAATTTGAAAGGATTAGGGAGGGAGACATCCTAAGGTGTACCATCAGTAATTCCTAGCCAGACAAGATTATTTACCACGTACGTAGGAATGTTTGTTATGGAGGCAAATGTATAAGGATCAGCAACTTAAGGAAGAACAAAGAATGCTGAAATCACTCCAGGGCACACCAAGGGCTAGCACAGTCAAGACACGCACATCAGGCTTACAAGAACAGGCATGAAAATCAGTGGTAAGATTGTACACTCAGAGCCAAGTACAACGCATAATAGTATCGTAAATATGCGGAGAACTAAAATGGTGAATGAATGCAGGAAACTGGCTGTAAATTTGGAGCATGACACAAATGCGGTGGGCAATTGCAGATGATAATGGGCAGTTGGATTTAACAAGGGCGTTGGCGTCGAACCGTTGAAGCATCATGAGAGCACCCTGTTTCCAATAGTCTTCCGTGTCCAGAAATAGACCGTAGTCACCTTTGTACGGTTTCTTCCATGACACACCGAAGATAGCATTTTCCGCCTTGGGTGATAGAGCGTCTGCGTGGTGGCGTAGTTGGTTCGATGGATCCACTTTCTGTTGGCTGGCACACAATGGGTTTGTTCACACTGGCTTGGGGAGAGAAATATCTTGGAGGCGTGGAGGTTCAGAGGCAACAGAACCTGTTTCGACAGCATGATGCCAGATTTCCACCGTCAGATACATGCCAGAGGGTCAACAATGGTAAGCGGACTGTCAGAATTCGATTTCAAGAGTGACATGGCCATCTATGGTCTGTCTGAACCAGACGCTATAGGTTTCGGAGTCTTACGAATGTAGAACTGTTTGATGGATGGTCTGGTCAGGGTTACCACATCTAGCTGTAATCTACAGTTAGTATAGGTAACCTAGTTCTGATGGTGATAGCCGATCGAGCAGGAAAATATTGCGGCTTGTGCGCCACAAGACGGTGTAAGCTGTCCGCCAGGTACGAGAGTGGTTGTGACTTATTTTAAAACCGGCAGACCCCACACTTCTTCCCTCGGTCAAGCTTATCTGGATACGCTGGGCAGGGTGTGCTTGTTGCTGGTTCTGATTCAGGCCACTCTTCGTTGGAGAAAGATGGCAACAATCAATGCAGGTCAGTTGAGTGACTATGCGTTGGCCAATAATTCCGTGCATGTGAACTCGACGGTCAACTACCAAGCCAGCTTTCGATTTACGACACTTACGGCGGTACTCACACTTGAGCCACACTAGCCTCTCCTGTGTACTGATTGGGAGTGGGGCAGACGCGCCAGCTGACTCGCGCTACGCATTGTCAAAAGTACCCAATACGTTTAAACCAAACGGAGTGGTTGCTCAAGTTGCTGAACTTTTAGCTCGCCCTGAATGATTTCGTAGCTATTTAGTCGGCATCATGAGGGAGTAGTTCAACCGGCCGACTACCAAAGGAGTAGAAACCGCATTTAACATCAACGGAAACTGTGAAAGTTGACCGTGGGTGTGTATGGCGCTACTCACAACATTCAGTTTATAAAAGGGAGAAAGTAGAGGAGGATGACTAAGGCACATCTCCAGATGACGCTTCTGTTAGCTGAATTAAGATGCAGGTATTGGAAATATGTGCCTGGGCTAATGAATTCACAAATAGTATACGAGATAGCATACAAGAAACACATGTATATATACAAGATATGCAAGATAGTTTATCATCTTACAATGTCCTAAATAACTAAAAACAACAGTGCAGTGATAACTTAATTATCTAGACTAGCAGCTTATTCAGACACAGAGTAATGGGAGCATTTTTTGATCAAATTTACTTTATTTACTGAGCCTATTAATTAGCGTAGTCTTTATGTTAGGGGGCACTCCTCCTAATGAACATATTGCTCAAAATTTCTCTCTCTATTTTAGCCTTTCATTGGACTGTTTTGTTCCATTCCATTCTTGTCTTGATTCTTCCCGATATTGGCTGTTCAATTGCTGCAGTATAATTTCCTCAAGGCTTTTTGTCTTCTCAATTCCGTGTGTAACTGACAAGACAAGGTGACTGATCAGTAGAGAAAATAACACTGGCGTCGGGAACACTTTGCGAACCCAAGAAAGCCAATTTCAGCTGAGGATTTGAAATCAATCCTTCAACAACAACAAGCGCAATTTGAAAAACCGCAATTTCGACTTATCCAGTCTCTCACTCAAGTCATCAATCTCCAAACTTCAGTTTCATCTCAAAGTGGTAGTTCACTATCCTTTGCGGATTCCATTGCTGCAACTATAACTGAATTTCACTATGAGCCAGCATCTGGTCTCACCTTTGATTCGTGGTACAGCCGTTGGGAGGATACATTCTTGAATGAGTTCACCGGCAAAGATGATGCGTGGAAATCCCGTCTCTTGGTACGGAAACTTGGAACCCTCGAACACGACCGGTTCACCAACTTTATCCTTCCACAACACCCAAAAGATTTGACTTTTGCGCAGACGGTGGACCAACTTCGCGAAATTTTTGGTGACCAACATTCACTTTTTAATGTCCGATACAACTGTCTCAAGTTGGCCAAGCGTGATGCCGACGATTACGTTACTTTTGCCGGTATCGTTAATCGCGAATGTGAGAAATTCCAATTGCAATCGCTTACAGAAGATCAGTTCAAATGCCTCATTTTTGTCGCTGGACTTCAATCTTCTCAGGAATCAGATATTCGCACGCGATTGCTATCCAAACTTGAGCACGAAAAAGACATTACTGTGAAAGACCTCACCACAGAATGCCAGCGCTTGCGCAATCTCAAACATGATACCGCAATGGTACAGCAAGAGTCGCGATCGCCTATTTCCAGCAGCGTCATGACATTGAAGCGAACCGCTGTCACTCCTGGAAAAAAGCCACCAACATCATGTTGGTCATGTGGTGAATGGCATTATGCACGTTTTTGTCCATTCAAGAAACATCAGTGCCAAGCATGCCATCGTTGGGGCCATAAAGAAGGCTTTTGC